ATTGGATGAGATAAAATTTCTGAAACCTGTGGAAAAAGAGTTTGCTTTAAAAGTGCCAGAAATTCTGAATCAGCAACATGCTTTAAAAGTTAACGCAGTCTTAGCAGCAGAGTTTGTCTTGGTGAAAAATGATACGGAGACTACTGAAGTTAAGTACTTTAATTCTTAATCGGAATGTGTTTTTCATACAGCTAATTTACATCAATAATTTGAAAATAATATTCAGATACCCATTGCTACCGACATTGATGAATTCCAAGAACGAGATTCCGGGTGGACTTTGCACTCTATTTTAAATTTAGTATTGAATATAAGTAAATATTAGGCTATGAATGGTAGTTCTTACATAGAAGTACCCAGTTCTAATATTAAAAAAAAAAGCTTACGTTAATGTTAAAAATGTAGATCACCAATGTTCCAAATGGGCTATTTTGTCAGCACTACATCCTTTAAGTAAAAATGCGAGTCGAGTCTTGAATTATACAAAATATGAAAATAAATACTATTTCACTGGGATAACATTTCTAGTGCAACCTAAGCAAGTACCGAACTACCGAAGTTTGAAAAAAAAAAATGGTGTTTCAGTTAATGTATATGTTTTAGAAAAGAGAAATAATAATTTTAAAACTTTTCCACTTTATTTAACAGCTGAAAAAAAGCTCAAACATGTGAATTTTTTACTTATAGAAAGTCACTATACGGAAATGAATGATAAGGGAAAAACAAATAAAAAACAAAAAAAATTTAACAACGAAGATGATGATTTTAATTATTCTGAAATGATGAGAGAGGTAGAAAAAGAAAAAGAAGTAAAAGAAGAAGATGATGATGATGATGTAGAAGACGATCTAGAAGAGAGTGAAAAGATAAATTATGATCTTAACCTTGCTAATAATGATGGGCTTATAGAAGATACATACGAAGAAGAAGATGTTGAGTCAGAAAAAAGCTTAGAGAGCAGGGTTAGTCATGCGAATGACGATGAATACCATTGTCATTATGTGTGGGTTAAAGATTTATCTCGACTTGTAAGAAGCTCTCTTACTGAATGTAAACGTAAAATACGCACAAACTTATAATACATACAGTGGAGTGCGTTACAGTAAATAAATGTAAAGTAAGCTTGCCAAAATGTGATAATATTTTGAAATTTGAAAATTATAAGAATAAAAATCAAGTGCCATTTATAGTATACGCAGACTTTGAGTGTTTATTAAAACCTGTACACGATAGTGAGCGAGCAATACAACACCATGAAGCATTAAGTGTTGGATATTACGTAAAGTACAGTTTTAACGATGCTTAATACATTTCCTATAGAAAAGAAACAGAAATCAGTGAAAATCCAGCTACCTGGTTTGTGAAAGGAATGCAATATCTCGCCGTAGATTTACAAAGTATGTATAACAATCCAGTGCCAATGAGATTACTAACTGAAGAAGAAGACTTCGATTTTTTCAACGCGGATAAATGTCATGTATGTAAGAAGTATATTAAAAATGATAAAAAAGTTTACGATCATTGTCATTTTACTGGAAGGTAAATAATTTTTTTTACACTTCTCTAATAAATATTATTTTCTCCTCAAAGTTATTTATAAATTTTTTTATTTTAGATACCGAGGTCCTGCACATAATGAATGTTATCTCAAATACCAAGACTCACGAACAATACCCATAGCCTTTCACAACCTAAGTAACTATGATGTGCACTTATTTACACAAGAACTTGTTACTTGTTTTCCTGAAAGAGTAGAAGTAATACCTCAGACGGAAGAAAAATATATTTCTTTTACAAAATATGTTGAGGGAACGAGAATCAACTTACGCTTTATTGACTCTTATCGATTTTTACCTCCATCGCTCGATAAGTTGGCATCTTATTTGGAACAACATGACATTTTAGAGAATATTTTTCTTCAAGACGATACATACACCATGGATCAAATCACTCAGTCAAAAATTTATAGCTATATATCAATATGCCTATAATTTATAGCTATAATTATAGCTATAACTACCTATAGAACAGCTATAATAATGTATAAAATTCAGCTATACATATAGCTATAAACTACAGCTGTAAATTTTTCACAAATAATGAATAAAAATTAGTTTAAAATCAGATTTTTTCAACATATATCGATCAGTACAGATGGTATCATCCGTATGATAACAGTAAAACTGGGCGGGGCCTGAAGTATTTTTGAATAAGTAGAAAAAAAAACAATAAATCATGTACAGTTTCAAGTTTTTTTAAAATTGTTTAAAAATACTTTAGGCCCTCAGTTTTACTGTTATCACACGGATGATACCGTCTATACTAATCGATATATGTTGAGATAATCTGATTTTAAACTAATTTTTGCTCAAAATTCGTGAAAAGATTACAGCTGTAATTTATAGCTATATTTATAGCTGAATTTTATACATTATTATCACAGCTGGCAAGACTATTCTAAATTATTTCACAAAGAGTTCTTGTTATGTACTCTTATTGAATTCATTTTATTGGATTCATTATGAATTAAAAATGTATTCTACACGTACTAGTTGTATTCTTTAAGAAATCTGTATTAAATCCTATACAGTCCCTAAAGAACTCACAAAGTATGCATGAACAATTCGAGATATGTCCAGTATAATGAATTCATAAATACTTCTTAGAGTATTCATTAAATCGTATTATTGTATAAAATTATTATTTTGTTAATTTGACTTCACCACAAACATTACTTATAATTCTATTCATTATATTATAATTAAATTGATTACAGCAGTAAACATTAAGTTCTGTTTTACACGTTAAACGAAATGCAATGTTCAGGTTCTTGGTATTTTTTCTTTAACGAAGCCTAACTGCCCGTACTCGCAATGTTCTTACCATCTTGACATGTTTTTCTCCTTCAATTAGTTCATAATATCCCAATCGCAGGCCTTTTTAAATATTTGGGAATTTTCATTTACGAAATGGATGAAACGTTGCAAATGCCTTTGAAAATTACATTTAATACATCCATTTGCGACGTGTCGTGAATGCATTTACATCGAAATAGGGTACGTTTTTTTTGACGTTCGGTCGTTAATTCGGTCAATCCCATTTTTCAAGAAAGTATAACTTTATCTACCTTCATTATGTATACAGTTCTTTCTGGCAGTGTACGCTGTAGTCTGTGTGCATATGGAAATATAAAAACGTCCGCAACCCGCGACAGCTCGATCATTCGCAATAGCTCGAACGTCCGCAATAGCTCTGATTTACGGAAGCCTGTACGGGTCACATAACTCAGTGGCGCTCGTGTAGCTCACTCTACTTCATGTGCCGTCTGCACTTGTGCTGTGTGTCTCATTAAAAAAAAATTAATTATGTATTTTCATATATTTTTCGCAATAGTGTGCAGAAAATGGGTGTTTTCCGCACTGGTATTAGTGTGAGAAATAGATTTTCCCACATAGTGGGCGACAAACGTGTGCGGCAAAAGTTTTTCCACACAGTGTGTGGCAAAGGTTTTTGTTGCACAGGGTGGGGAAAAGGTGTACGGAAATGGTTTTGCCACACACCGGAAAAAATTTTTCTACACACTGGTAATCAAAATTCATACCTGTTTTGTACCTATTTTCCTCACACATTGCGAAAAAACTTGTACGCAACTCGTGCGGGACGATTTCCCGCACTCATGGCCGGTAACGGTCTTTTCCGCACTTGTTACGTAAATAACTATACTGTTTAATTGATCTACTCATACGTAGAAAAATTCTAAAAAGATGTAAGAATTACTATGAAATAGCACAAATATATGAAAATACATAATTTTTTTTTTTTAATAAGACACACAGCACAAGTGCAGACGGCACATGAAGTAAAGTGAGCTACACGAGCGCCACTGAGTTATGTGACCCGTACAGGCTTCTGTACTCATTGGCAATCAGAGCTATTGCAGACTTGTCTGTTTTGCTCTTATTGGTACTTTCTATTGCGGACAGTCTATTGCGGAGCTCTATTTCGTACCATGGGACTGCAGCCTTAGTTTACTGACCCCCACGGCCCCACCGTTGGCAACGTGCAAGAGAGACAGATATACACCTTCGATGCTGTGTCTCTTTCTACTTGTGTTTCAGCGCCGTACATGAGAACGAACAGTCCATTTCTTATACGTCTATGGCCATTATACACCACCCACCAAATTTTTAGGCTTTTTTTCAAATTTTCATTAACTGCCGATAGGTGGCGAAACATTACCGACCTGCGGATCTGGTCTAGTGAGATGGCATATGTAAGAAAATACAAAGCCAATAAACTAATTTAAACTAAACCTGGTCTAGTGAGCATCGAAGGAGTGAGCGGACAATCTTGGGACCGCTCGTGATTAGTGGACCATCATTTGAGGATCATGGGGACTTTTGTTATATAATTGTATACATATATATCTCTATACATTTATATTTTTTTTTTTTTATATTCATCATCGCCCCTTGAGGGCTCAGACACGGCTATTTTGACACTATAAAGTGTATTTAGCCATACGTTGGGTTTAATAACAGTAGGGGGAAACGGTAGATAGATCGGTAGGTTTATTGAAGTACAAATCTCATCCAGAAAAAAACCTCATTCATTGATGAAATTTTTGTCCAGAGTGGGATTTGAACCCCGGCCATCAAGATCTGTAGGCAGACACGCTACCGACAGAGCCATCATGTGGCTTCTATACATTTATATGTATTTCGTATTATCGTGACGTATTTATTTGCTAAATTATGCATTTCCAAGCTCTCACCTTTCCCCATGAGCCGATGAGCCTCAAATGGCGGACATTGTCTCCTCACTCCCTCGAAGCTCACTAGAGCTGGTCTGGCAGCAGTGGCACTGTGGCAGCGCTGATGAGCAGTCTGTGTTTCTTATATGTCTATGACTTGGCTACGCCAAGGCTCGCCTAGCAGTACTTAGCTAGGCCCTGGTCTTAGCCTTCAGATCATCTTGTCGGGACGTTTCGTGTACGTCCTTATCTCAATTCATAGTTACTTGAGGCTGCAAGTAATAGAGAATTAAATTTACTGGCCACGAAAATAAATATGGGTAAAACAGTAAAAATTGTCGTTTGTGGTATGAAGAGCGTTGGTAAAACAGCTCTCTTAGAACAACTTGTACACGGGAATATTACCGCTAAAACTGTAAGTAGAACCTAGTTTTTACTATAATTATGTTGTAAGTACATCAAATACATACTTGTAATCACTGAGATAGAAGTAAAACACTGCAATATGCACGAGATTGCTGCATGTGCATTTTCACCACACTGTACCTAAAGCAATAACTTTCTTCCTGTGTTACCGGAAGAAAATTCCGTGTTTTGGTACAGGATTGGTGACGAATAGTAAGTATACAACCTACAAGGGGGAATAAATAAGGCTTTAGATCACATACATCAAAGTGTTAAATGCCTGTCCTCTGATACTTTATTTATTCTTCCAAGGTAAGGATTATACTTAATACCAGCAGTTTAACTTATACTAATGACGATAGTTTCAAATAAATCAACTAAGTCTAAATAATTTATCCATTCGAAATTCGCGGCTAAAAGATTATACTATAATCATTATGGACTATAGTTTCAGTTATGTCAATTTTTTCTGCAAGCATTTATATAAACAATGGCATACTCTTGTTATAAGCCTTTGATGTTTTGACAAAATTTGATAACCTTGAATTTATACCATATTTTAGGAAATGCATCCTACAATTGAAGATACATATGCAGCATATATTGAAAGTGACAAGGGCTCTAAGGAAAAAATTAGATTTTATGATACTGCTGGGCTAGAACCATTACAAAATATTATGAGTAACCAGCAATTAGCTAGACATTACCTTGGATTTGCTGACGGCTTTTTATTAGTCTATGATACAGCAAAACCAGAGTCCTTGGATGTATTAATACCTTTAAAAAAAGATATAGAAAAAAATAAAGAAAAAAAAGATATAACCGTATTGGTAATAGGTAATAAAACAAAGCTTAATGCAGAACATCAGCTTTTAGAAAATACAGTTGTCAAAGCTAGTAATTGGTGTGCTCGAGAAAAACTTAAACATTTTGAAGTAAATGCCATGGATCGATCAACTTTGTTCGAAGCATTTGTTTACTTATCTTCTAATATAAATCCTCCACAGACAAAAAGTACATTTCCTCAATTAAGTATAGGTAGAAAACCTTGACACCAAGTTAACTCGATTTCAATAATCCTTTATGATGGAAGTGTACTCTCCACATGTTACTTTTTATGAAACAAATTGATTTATTTTATTGAAATTACAATTGAAATAGTCTGCTTATCTGCATTTTTGGAACAGAGCTTTGGGATAGGGGTGTCTTACTTTAAAGAAAAGATTTTTTTAGCCTTACAACGTTTATTTATTGTAGCACAGTTATGTATAATGTTGAATTGTATACAATAAAATTGAATTATTAGATGATCGTACACATGTGTATATGCTATTATTTTTTTACTAAAGTAGATGTAGCCCCGTGAACTCCGTGAACAATTTGCAAGTATGTGAGAGTAAAAATTCTAAAAATTTCGGAATCCTTAGGCCGCGGGCACATGGAGAGCGTAACGCGTACCGCCTAACTATTTGAGCCCATGAGAGTGAGAGAGAGGTTCGTGTACTTTACCTACTTTACCTACGTAGAGGTACGCGTTACGCTCTCCATGTGCCCGCGGCCTTAGCAACGTTAGCAACCGCTCCCCACAAAATTGCGGATACCTGTAGTTTATTGCAAAAGGTGGATGTGCACTTTAAGACGCCTTTTGAGAAGTTAGACACAAGTGTCGCAGTGCCACCAACATAGTGTAACGCGGGAAATTTAAATTTCTTAAATCAATGTATATGTGGTTGGAAATTTTTCTGTTGATATTATAGGATTTGTTTATTTTTTTACAGTGCGGCCGAGCGAGAGAAGCTCGCGAAGGCGCTATTTCCGCACATTGAAAGATATAGTTTATTAATAATATTTAAAATACCTGCCATTTAGTAGTAGTTGTTAATCTAGAAGACTTTTTACTGCTAAGCTTTCAAGTTGCAACTTGTCATTTTCATTTCGTTTGGCTAGCGTTTGTGTCGACTGGTTGTACTTGTCAGATTTTGTGTTTTATTATGGTTTTTTTGCGTGATTTATTTATAAAGGAGTTAAAAAAAACTTCTTTACTAGTAATTGAAGAATGGCAGAGTCGTGGATTACTTGCTTAAACTGTAATTTGTTCGTATTATGGCATTGAGATGTACATGGGTGAAAAAAGTTATTTGATTGATAAATATATGTGGAGGTGCAGAAAATGCAAAGCCTTGAAATCGTCGCGTAAAAACTCCTGGTTTGATGGTTCGCATTTAAGTATCCCTAAAATTATTCAGCTTACATTTGTATGGTCTTATCAGTTCTCTCAACAACATATCATGAGAGAAATTGAAATATCAAATAATACGTGTATTGATTGGTGTAATTTCTGTCGTGAAGTGTGTGTTGAAATTCCATCAACTCTTAGGGCCACAGAACAAATTGGAGGTATAGGAAAAATTGTCGAGATTGACAAATCTAAGTTTGGCAAGCGTAAATATAACCGAGGTAAACGAGTTGAGGGGTAATGGGTTTTTGGTGGCGTGGCAAAAGGTAGCAACAAGTGTTTTCTTTTTAGTGGAACTCATAGATCAGCAAGTACCTTGGCGCCCCTCATTAAAAAACATATTAAGCCTGGTACTACTATCATAAGAGATTGTTGGAAAGCTTATGATTATTTAGGTGAAGAGGGTTACCAGCATTTGATTGTTTATCATTCAGTTACATTTAAAGATAAAGACACTGAAGATTGTATTAATACGATCGAAAGGATGTGGACAGATGTCAAACAGATGTTCCCAACAGCTAACAGAAGTAAGAACCATTTTGATTCTTACTTAGCTGTTTTCATGTACTTCCGAATGAGAGCAGAAGCTTTATGTATCTTTGATCAGTTTTGACAAGACGTTGCTTCTGTTTATTCACCACATGACTTAAGATCTCAACGTATTAGTTTGCGAATTGTTATAAATCAGTCCTTTTAAGGACTAACAAAAAAATCTAAAAATAATTTTTTTTCAGTCAAGAAACTCAAATTTACCGCGTTTACAATTTTAAATTTCCTGCGCCACGATGTATTGGGAACACTGCAGAAACTGTAGCTTACATCTCAAAGGGTGTCCTAAACTGCACTTTTACCTCGCAAGAAATTAAAAACCCGTATCGGTCTGCGAAAATTAAACAACCTGTTAAAAGCTTTTTCAGGCAAGATAGAGAGAGAGCTGGAACAAACTCCAATCGTTTGTAATTTGATTGTGGATGTCGAAAAGACCATAGTTATCAGGTATACGCGATAATTATTTGCAAAATAAATTGTCATCAGGATCATCTATTTCATTAGAATTGTTCAAGCTACTTTTGGTTCGGTTCGGTTTTCTTAAAAAAATATACCTATACACAGGGAACCAAACGAAACTGGTTCTGTATATATAGGTATAGTTCGTTAAGAGAACCGAACCGAACCAAATGGGCTTGAACAAACCTACGAACGTAACTGATGGACCCAAGTAAAAATTAAAAATGGACCAAAACTGGGTCCCAGCTTCACTGCCATGCCGCAGCTTGACACCTGGCTTGGCCTCCAGTGGGTTTGTAATACGATGCTGACTTGGAGGCAGCTTGGCCTAACTTTCGCCCAGTAATACACTTTCGTCTGCAGATCATTATAATACAGAGACGTCTATATATAAGTATACTAATAATATGACATTCAAGCGCGCAGACGCACACATGAATATATACATACAAACGTACATGCTTATGTATATCCAACATCAGTGCAGATGCAGACGAAAGTGGGCGGTTACTGAGCGAAAGTTAGGCCAAGCTGCCCCAAGTCAGCGCCGTAGTACAAACCCACCTGTGGCCAAGCTTGGTTGCATGATTTGGACCATGCGTTTAAGCTGGGTTGCCCACCCGAATAGAAATGTGCCGTAGCTTGCCTGACTGCCTGTGCAGGTCCTGCACAGGCAAGATAGGCATTTTCTGCATATGTGAGTTCAAGCTGTGCACAGTTCCTGTACAGGTCCGGTGCTCTTGCCTGAACTGACATCAACTGTCTGCTACTACAGTATAGCCTTAACCTTTTTTTTAATTAATCTAAAATGAAGCAAAACCGTTATTCTCGACGAAAGACGCGAAATAAATATAGAATGCAAATTATTCGTAAAAGAAAAATTTCGGAAAAAAAAAACCTAACGGATTTAATGGAAATAATGAAAAAAAAGCTAAACTTACTCCATTATCATTTTTATAAATCTCGTATTAACAATTACATGTGTTCTAATAAATTATTTCATTTCTTAGATGCTCTGACATCGATAACAATTAAAGATGTCGTTTATAATGCTGATAACGTCAGAGAAAATTTAAGTTCATTGATGAACAATGCTCGTGACTGGGGTGGCAATCGGATAAGGAGGATGAAGAAAACTTTGAGTCAGAGCCGTCAAAGGAAAGACATGAGGATTAATTTAATAACATAGAGTTTTTATTTTTTTACTGTGACAAAATAGTTTTTATAAACTTCGCTAAATAGTGTTAATAAATGATTTCACACATGATCTACTAGTTATTTTTTTAGTATTTATCGTTTTCTCTGTTTAAAAACATTTTTTTATGTAACATAACCTTACTATTTAATTGTGTAAAAGTCAGTTCAGGACTAGATTATATTTGTCCAGGTTGCCTGAGCTGAGGCTGCCTGTGCAGGAGCCTGAGCAGGTCCTGTGCACATCGTTAAATAAAATTCCATCAATGCCTGAGCAGGTCCTATGCAGGCAGCTCAGGCACCTGTCCAGGACCTGTTCAGTGCCTGAACTCAATTTCTGTTCGGGCAGTGGCAGAGATGTAAAGAGATCTTGAGTAAGAGCTGTAGCGCGTTTTAAACGCGCTGTTTGGGCTGTTTCCGCTGTTTTCCCATGGGGCATCAGCACATACAGCGTGAGCCAATGAGAGGGCTTCTTTAGTCACGTACCTGTTGTGTGTATGCCCTGCCCTGACAAACTTGATAGTTGGGCCCGTGTGTATAGTTGCTGCTCATTATTATTGTTGTTTACCGTTTGAACAAGTGAGTATTGCTTCAATTATTGTATTAGATAGAGAATCTTTCCTGCAGTCATCGTAACTGTTACGGTAGCAACAATTATGTATCAATACTTGTCTAATCACGTCTTCGATATAACCTTTTTAACAAAGATTGTATTGTCATAAAATCGTAGAAATATGCATGATTGCAGCAGCCATGGTATTCAAATAGCATTTTGACTATCAAACTTGCAAGGAACTAATCGAATAATATTTCAAACTATGTTATCAATATTTTATACTTCTGCCTCTACATAACTTACAAGATAATTTGTTAAATAAACTTTCTTCATGAGGTTTTTATAGAATGCTATTATATGTTAACATTTCACTACCTCTCGTTGAATATAAAATTTCAAGGATTCTAAATACGATAAAAATATATCACTCGTCAATATGTACTATTCTATAGTTACCAGTCTTACCATTTTACAATTTTCCATACTTTTGTGTTGGCATGTACGACTTTTCAGTAGGCAGTATATATAGTGTGAAAGACAGCGCCACAGGCAAGGTGATACTTGCGGGCCCTGTAGTCAGTACAGTGTAAGCCACCGTGCCTTCTACACCTCTCGTCGGTTCTAGCTTTATTGTCTTTGTCTGATAAGTCGGTTGTAAGTCTGTAAAGTCTGTAAATTGTATCTGGTGTGTTCTACGTCGGTCGGCAGTTTTATTAAATAAACTTTTGTCTAACTTGTAATACTCGTTTTATTATTTCGCGCACCTCCTTTACTCACACCTCTTCAGGTTACGGGCCCCAGACTCGCATCACCGCGCGTGATCTCTTCTTTATTTTTTTTGTGTGGGTGAGTGTGACAAAAGAGAGGATGGCGGAAAGGGCTGAGACAGCAAAGGATGGACAAGAGAGTCCGATCGAGGAAGCGGCCGAGAGCGTGACCCCTGGTGACCAGGCCGAGTCCGTTGTCGACCAGGCGTTGTCGACGCCGGTCGAGGATAGGGGAGCAACTCTGGACGCCGGAACCGAGATCAGCGGTAGGTCAACACTTTGTCCTTTCGAGTGATGCCTAGGTTGGACGCTACGACGTCAGGTAACAAAGGGGATTTCTTGTGAATTTCGAGAAATGCGCGGGATTCTAAGAAACACGTGGCGTCGGTAGCGCGACACGCACACGCAAGAGCGGGGCGGATCGAGAGGGGGACAACAGATTGCGGCTGAGGAGAGAGTTCGGTCTCTCTCTCTCCCTCTCGTGTTGACGCGAGGCTTTTTGACTGAAAATATATCACGAGGCCGTTTATGTTTTGTTTTCGTGTTTTCTCGCG